TGTTGACGCCACTGATCCGAAGGCGTCGTAATCACTAGAAAAGGAGGGTATCGGATATATCGATTTGGTCCTTGTGCCTGGCACTTAAATTTCACGACGAGCAACAAACAAATCCATTGTGGGAAAATAGAAATTGAGACAAAGAAAAACAAAATTAGAAAAAGAATCCTGGGATGATGTGAGAGTGGGGTCATCCTTCGTGTAGAGCAGGGGGATTTGGAGATGGCCGCTGCTAGGTGGCTTTCAGGCCGCCCGACTTCATTGATTTGGTGATCACACGCGACGTGATTTCTTGATCGGTGGTCTTTCCTCCCACCCGGACAAACTTGAGGCGAAATCGCTACAGCACGCGCTGCGACTCGTCCGCTGGCTATTCCCTCTTGCCGCGCGACGGGCCTCCTGTCGGGTACCCTGGGGCTTAGAACCGATTGAGCGTCGCTGCAAGTCCTTGTGTAAGGGTAAATGGCACCCGACATTTGGGTTGGCACCCGTCATGAATGCTCTATAAGAAGGGGCTAACGTTACAATCTCATTTTCTTCCACAGTTTCAAATAGTTAACTAAAGGTGTGAAATGTTAGATGATGGGAATGGAAAAAGTGGGAAAAGATTATATAAGATAGTATGGGCATAATTGAAAAAAATAAATAAATTCTCGTGATTCAACAATAAATATACGCTTTTCCAGATCGATTTGTACGACATTTGTGAGGAGTACAAACGCAAGTATCAACGCGCCCTTGAGTACGACGTTCAGCAGATGTGCAGCGGTGACTACATGCGTTTACTCATCGCATTGCTGTCCGCATCTAACAACAACAATAATCACATTATGTAGAAAAAATGTTATCCATTGGTGTAATCTCTGCTATTCTGTTTGTTTCGCATTCGTTGTCAAGAGCTGCTCTCTGTACGTTGAGAGGCTTCTTGGCATTTATCTTGTGTATTTATTATCTACTCAAGGCTCTTGGTCAAGGGGGCAAGAGCCAGACTGCGACGGAGCTGGAACTAGGTCACCTCGCGGCGCAACTGTTGCCGTGCCGCCGCAATCGAGATTTCCTGACCCACTTTCGCGCCGGTGTAATCCCTCTTTTACTGAAGCGCAAATTCCTTTTGCTATTCAGTAAGCACACAATCGTACGAAATTTCCTCGGAAAGTTTCTTGATTTTCATCTACTCTTTGACAACTTTCTTTCAATACGCCAGAAGCAGCATATCATATATGTATGTTCGTCTGGTTGTCTACCTACTTTTGCTCCTTGTATTCATTCAGTTACTGTATAACCTGCCACCTCTGAGCTGGATTTTCGGGCGAAGCTCACCATTCCGACAGTTAGTCTTGATTTTACCTAACAAGGCAGAGCTCCCCGGAAGCCCCGTTCACTTCACCTGTGCACGAAGGCGTAAGAGGAGGGTTTTGCCATCTTGATCGTGACCCGATTCGAGAACCATTTGAAAAGCATTGGCACACCATTTTCATTCCAGTACAAGTCAACTTGTAGTGAAAAAGTAGTAGTGC